TGGGCACTTAGCCATCTACCCACTAGATGAGAGTTTTCAGTATAGCAGTCTCATTGTTTTCAGCATTTATAGAGAACCTAGCACTCTCCTCCTGATTCAGCCCCAGGGGACAAACCTGGATCACTCCCAACCTTTTTTGAGTAGCAAACAAGCCCCCATAGTGATCCTTGGTCCTTCTACCTGGGCACCCAAGTGTGGACCCACCTTTAAGATAAATTCCAAAGAACAAGAGGGCTTTTAGGATGATGCAGAACCCCTACATCAGCATGTGGTTCATACAGGCTCTCAGGCCAAAACTCATTTTAGTCTGGTGGGGCAAGGCCAAGACCTCAGGCTCTCAGAGTAAGTCTGTGCTTGAAAATTGCCCTTCTGGTGAGGGAGGCCTAAGTGGAATATGCACAGAATGGTATGCAGGCCATTGTTAAAGATTTGAGTAAGTAAGTTCACAGACTGGAACACTTAGCACTGAACAGATGGCAACACTCCCCAAATTGAGATATAGACTGAAAGCATTCCTATTAGAATACAAGCTTTTTCCCCTTCTCACAGAAATCAACAAGCACATGGTGCAATTCACATGGAAATGCAAGGGACCAGAACAGCCAAAATGATTTTGGAAAAGAGGAACAAAGTTGCAGGACTTGCACTTCACCATTTCAAAACTCATTAAGCAGCTGTGTGTACAGGACAGTGTGGCACTGGCATGAGGAGAGACATGTTCATCAATGGGGGAGAACTGAGAATCCAGAAATAAACCCTCATATTTATGGTCAATTGATTTTAGACAGGGTGCCAAGACAATTCATTGGAAAAAGAAGGCTTTTCAACAAATGGGACCACTGAATGGCCAGCTACGTGCAAGAGAATGATGTGCTCTGTCCTTATCCTGTACACAAAAATTAACTCAAAATGGATCAAAGGCCTAAATGTAAGAGCTAAAATGAATGCTCTTAGAAGAAAACATAGGAGTAAGTCTCTGTAACCTTGGACCAGCCATTAGTCTCTTAGATATGCCTGAAGCACA